GTGTCTATAGTCCCAGCTACTCAGGAGGCTGAGGCAGGAAGATCATTGAGCCCAGGAGTTTGAGGTTGCTGTGAGCAATGATGACGCCACTGCCAGAGTGACAGAGTAAGACTCTGTCTCAAAAAAAAAAAAAAGTTTATCATCGTGATCCTTACAGGTTTTTCCCCTCTCCCTCTTTTTATAAGCAACTATACAACTTGATGTTGTAGAAGCAGAGACAGAGGAGATAACCCAAGGAAACACACTCCTCCGGGCCAGGAGAACCACCAAGCGGTTATCTGTGACATCTCTTCCTTCAGGACTGCAAAAGGTAAAACACTAAAACAATCTTGCCTCTAAAGATGTACACAAAACTCAATGTATAGGGATTTTTCAAAAACCAGGTTCTCTCCTATCATAAATTGCCCATAATAAATCCTTTAAGTCTGCTGCTTGTGTCCCGTCTTCAAGAATTTAGGGCACAGAGAACAGGCTCTCTCCAGGTCAGATTCCTCTACTTCTAACCCCAAACTGTTCAGCTTCTACTACAATCTGGGCGACAGTGGAGTTTGGAGCTTTATACTGACTTCCTCAACTGTTCAAATGTCCAGTTAGTGTATTAGCGATCTGGCCTATCTGAGCATGCCATGTGGAGAGGAATTCACTAGACTTATTCTGTCTGATGAACTTTTTGTGAGGATGCAAGTATGTGTACATTGTCCAGAGGAGTAGCATTAGCCACGTGTAGATTTTGAGACTCTGACAAGTGGCCAGTACAATTGAGGAACTGAATTTTTAATCTTTCTTTTCATGGAAATTAAAATGTAAATAGCCACATACATCGCATAGAAAGTGCAGCACTAGATGATCCAGGACCCTCCAAACCAAAGCTTTTACTTATCTGTAGGTATGTTCGAACCTAAATTGCCCAGACTTGTTTTTTTTTTGGAGACAGGAACTTGCTCTGTTGTCTAGGCTGGGGTGTAATGGCCCAATAATAGCTCGCTGTAACCTTGAACTCCTGGGCTCAAGCAGTCCTCCCACCTCAGCCTCCCAAGTAGCTGGGACTACAGGCATGCGCCACCACGCCCAGTTAGTCTTTTTTTCTTTTTTGTAGATACAGGGTCTTCTCACTATGTTGCTCAGGCTGGTCTTGAACTCCTGACCTCAAGTGATCCTCCTGCCTTGGCCTCTCAAAGTGCTGGGATTGTAAGTGTGAGCCACCATGCCTGGCCAAACTATTTTTAAAAAATAGAACCTTGAGCTATTATTATGTTAAATATAATAAGCACTAACTTAAAGCTGACTATGTTCCAAGCCCATTCTAAGTGTTTTAGAAATACTGACTCAGGCCAGGCATGGTGGCATGCACCTAGAGTCCCAGCTACCCTGGAGCCTGAGGCAGGAAGATTGCTTGAGCTCACGAGTTCGAGGTTACAGTGAGTTATGATCATGCCACTGTACTCCAGCCTGAGTGACAGAGCAAGATACTGTCTCTGAAAGAAAAAAAATCAATTCGGATAATCCTTACAACAGTCCTATAAGGTAGATAGCAATACTATCCTTAATTTAGGGATGGCACA